CATTGACAATCCTGTTATTTCAGCCGTGTTTTGTACAGTTCTTCCACAAAGAGGTGCCAGGCTTATTCTGTTGACCGTAAACTATCACACAGAGTATTTCATCTGTGCAGGTAGCATATTGTTCACACCTCTCAATAAATGCCCTGCTTCTGGGAGTGAAAAATCTGCTGCAGGGTCTGTTATTGTGAAATGCAGCTTTCAGCTGCACCTGGGCAGTCTAAAGGGGTTTGACAATCCATTTCCCAGGAAGATGCCAAAGCCATGGATGAAGCCACAGAGATAGATTTCTCACGCAGTGCAGGTTTTTCTTTACCGTTTTCACTATTAAATTAACTTAATCCTTGTGAATTGGCAAGGGATGTTGTGTAGGCAGCCCCAGCCACTTGTCCTGGACATTGGACCTGCCTCATGTTCACTGGCAGGTTGAGTTGAGCTTCTTCCTGGAAGCCTGGGTCACGTGAGAGCCCAGGGTCAAATGAGACCCACAGTCCTTCCCTCTTCAATGTTCTGCTTGATCTTTAGTAAACAGATTGGAATTGAAGCCTGGGCTGGTGCCTGATGTGTAGCTATAAACAGCACATGTTTAATATTGACCATCCTTGTGTTCTTGATAAAGACAAATTGAATCTCCAGGTGCTGTTTTTGTGGTTGAATCTTTAAAGTGCATTTAAGGGGGGGGAGCTGCAGGAGGGAAGTTTAACCCCAGTGCTCACAGTTTCCTTTCTCACTGGTCAAAGCCTGTGGCAGAGGGACAAAACCCTGGTTTCCCACAGGCACAGCAGCAAGCACAGCTGCTGGCCCCAAACAAGGCAGCAGTGACCAGACCAGACTCCACACTCACGTAGTCCCAGTGGATGCAGACATGAGGAATGGAGATGCACTTGTCACCAGCATTGGTGTTTCATAAGAGTAACAGCACAGTCACCCTTCCCATGACATGGGCTGGGATTTGGAGGGCTGGATGTGCCAGACAGCACCATTCCCTAAGGCCCAGATCCTTGAGGTTCAGCCCTAGCCACAGGGAAAACAGTGTGGGATTTGCTGTTGGCTTCACATCTTTCAGGTGTGAACTCCAACTATTGCTCTTGACTGTCATTTGTGGGAGCTGGTGCAGCTGAAGGAACATCCAGTGGAAGTCCTAGGCAATTGCAGGGCCAAGAAAGAATATCAGCAGAAAATCCCATTTCCAAATCTCAATCCGGTAGCAAAGCAAGCAAGATTATTTTTATACATGCTACTAAACATTTAAAACATTTAAAAATATTTTTTTAAATCTACACCAATGACTAAATCTTGTTCCTGTCCTTAGATCTCCATCCTTCCCCAGGGGAACGACAGCTGTTGTACCTGAAAGGAGTTCATGCTTTACTAATCAAGTGGAACATTAATAAAACCCAGCCCACTTCATAATTCCCAGAATAGTCATTAATTAAAAAGACCTGTTTATTGGAATCGAAAACAAGTATTTGATTAGCTTTGTTACAGAACAATAGCTCTCCTAATTTTTGTTCTGCATATTTTGCTCTTTGTTTAGAAAATTCTCTTCAGAAGCAGTTGAGATAATTCGCTTTTTAAAACTGTACAGTTTCTATGGATTTGCTTTTTAAATGAGAGCATACTTTGTAGATTTGATTATTATATTTTTCTGTTACAAAAGCCTTCCCCACCGCAGTAAAAGAAAAGGAAAGCTATCCTGTTGGTTGATTGCAAAAGTAAAAAAAAATATAATTAAAACAAAATTGCAGAGCTGTGGCATTCTCAGTCCTATTAGAGCATGACTCTTTACTACTCCTCATTTGCCACATTAGAAATAAAATAAAGTTACACCAGCAAGATTTCATTTGAAGCTGTTCTTGCATGCTCTTTGTACTGTATTTGATGGCATAATATTGTTTTGTTTACAATCTTTTCTTTCTTGTCATTCTATTATATTCTTTATATGTATATAGTCTAAAAAAAAAAA